GTGAAGGGCATTTAGGACCTCTCTTCACTATCTTTGCAACTCTTCTGTAATCTAAAATTATACCCCATGTAGAGCCGCTGGAGCCCCCATACTCATCCCTACATCTGTGGATGCCAGTGTTGCTCTTCCCCCAGTGGCTTTAGGACTGAATTATTAAGGAAGGGGTGGGGTAAGGAAAGCTCCTATTCCCACTTCATCTCATGTCCTTTGTTAACCTAAAAGTCTGATCATATTAACCATGGGACATACTATGTTTGAACACAGGAGGAGTCAGTTCACGCACAAATATGTTTCATATTGCCATCTTCTTGGTGAGAAGCCATTTTTCAGAAATGTATTAAATGATAAGGTCATAAAACACACCCAGTGAGCAAACTTGAATCTGAAGAACAGTATGAAAAAAAAAAAGGAAACAGAAAAGCAGCTATATTGCAGCCATCTCTTCCCTATCTAGTCTTATTACTGCCTTTCACCTTGCTCCCTCTACCAACTTTTTTTCTTGCCTTTCAGTGTCTTGGCTAAAAGCTCCCTTAAGGGGATAGATCTTTTCAATAACTAGACCAACTATAGTTCTTGGTGATAATTAGGGGTAAGTGGTGCCTTCTGCAAGAGGGGCAAGAGCAAGACAGTACTAGAAAGAGTGACAGCCATCTCTCCTGGGCTTGTTTCCTAGAAAATAAGGAAATCACAAGGAACAACACAGGCATTAAGCTTCTCCCAAAGAGAAGTTGATCAGGGCTTCAGGAAAGTAGATCAAAATTGCAAGATTTATGTTTGTTATGTTTTCTGTCTCAACTGTCACTTGTTGGCTTTATAAAATAAAGCAAAAGCCTTGCAATATAAATCGCTAGAGAAATAGCACCAGGAATTTAGAAATAGAAAACTCTTGAGGGCCTGAATCATGGCATTCTAAAATTATCAGTAATAATCATAACTTATCATTTTTCACTGCCAATTATGTACTAGGCACATAATTTTTTCTATGTATATCAGTTGGGCAATTAATTTCTTTCTATTTATAGTAGAGACAGGGTCTCGCTCTTGCTCAGGCTGGTTTCGAACTCCTGACCTCGAGCAATCTGCCCACCTCAGCCTCCCAGAGGGTTACAGGCGTGAGCCACTGCACTGGCCAGCATTTGTTTGCTATTATCTCCCTTGCTGTTTTGGGTATGCATATAGCTTCTTAGCATGGCTTTCAACTTACCTGTTCTAGAATTGCCCTTTGTTTCATCCAATAGTGGGGGTTTCTAACATTCCTTACCTAATACATGCAATGATGCTGACTTCCCTTGGTGTTGATAAATATCTTAAAATTTTTGCCTTTTTATTTCCTTTGGCAGGTAGGCTACAATTGTACCTGTTTCCTCACTTTGAGCAGACATAAGATGAGGGTCCCTTATCATGGACCCAGGTATAACTCCATCTTTCAATTCTCCTTTCCAGACTCTGTCCTTATCTGACAGTTCCCCCACATACCCACCTTTCAACCCCAATCAACCAACACAAGTCTTTCTACTCAACAGTCTTTCTCAGATGTGTTCTTCTCTCTATTTTTTATTCTTCTTTTTTTGAGACAGAGTCTCGCTTTGTTGCCCAGGCTAGAGTGAGTGCGTGGCGTCAGCCTACCAGCACAGCACCTCAAACATCCTGGGCTCAAGCAATCCTTCTGCCTCAGCCTCCCAACTAGCTGGGACTACAGGCATGCGCCACAATGCCCGGCTAATTTTTTCTATATATATATATTAGTTGGCCAATTAATTTCTTTCTATTTATGGTAGAGACAGGGTCTTGCTCTTGCTCAGGCTGGTTTCGAACTCCTGACCTCGAGCAATCCGCCCGCCTAGGCCTCCCAGAGTGCTAGGATTACAGGCGTGAGCCACCGCACCCGGCCTCCTCAATGTGTTCTTGTGGAAGTGCCACAAGACTTCTCATTGTTTATGCCTTTTCTTGTTGGTTAAATAATTTGGTAACCTGCATTTATCAGATGTTACTCCTCTCCTAGAATCATGAGATTTTACACTCAAGATCTGTGATTAGGTAATTATTACTTCAAGTTCACTCTTTATAATTTTGAATTTAACCTGTTTCATGTTGTTGTTTTCCATGTAAATCTGAGATTGTATTTGCTTTGAGGACAAAGGATCCTGCAAGGACAGCACTTTTTTGTTTGTTTTTAGCATTAGGGTTACGGTACACTTTGTTTTTGATACAATGTTCACATATGTTTGATAAATAAATATTACATTAAACCTGAGTTAGGACAGTAGTTTTTGAACAGTGATATAAAGTTTTTTCATGATAGGCAGACTTAGCTGTTTTATAATAAAAACCTTAGGCTGTAAAACTTTCAGTACAGGGTACTTGGCCATTCAATCACAGGTAGGCTAAAATTAAGAGACTGTTAGTGTAGACCATGGGGAAAATGATAATAGTTTGGGTAGGGTGATGGAGATGTAGAGAAATGGAAGATTTGAGAATCTGACTGTGATGGATTAGCTATGGGGGTGGAGGGAGGAGGGATTCATAGCTTATGTAACTGATGGTGGCAGTTCATTTCCAAAGAGATTTCTAGGTCAGAACACCCTATTGCCTGGACAATGTGATGAATATCACTGCCAGTTTGTCCTTTTAATGTTCTTTGGTTGTTATCATGGAGACCCTATCCTTGGTAAATGTTTTCCTACTTTTAGGCATAATTTACATTTTCTTAGTTACAATTAAATTCCAATTCTTCTTTCCCCTGTTTATTCTTAGGTCACCATAGTTGGATTTGGGTATTCTTGAAAGATCCAATATTTAAGATAATGGGCCAGGCATGGTGGCTCATGCCTGTAATCCTAGCACTCTGGGAGGCCAAGGCGGGTGGATTGCTCGAGGTCAGGAGTTCGGAACCAGCCTGAGCAAGAGCAAGACCCCGTCTCTACTAAAAATATAGAAATAAATTAATAAACTAACTAAAAATATATATACAAAAAATTAGCCAGGCATGGTGGTGCATGCCTGTAGTCCCAGCTACTCGGGAGGCTGAGGCAGGAGGATCGCTTGAGCCCAGGAATTTGAGGTTGCTGTGAGCTAGGCTGACGCCACGGCACTCACTCTAGCCTGGGCAACAAAGTGAGACTCTGTCTCAAAAAAAAAAAAGAAAAAGAATAATGACTTGGGATATTCTATTTCTTCAAAGGGATCATCTTTGATATTTTCATTTTTAGAGGAAAATCTACTGAAAAACTTGAGTCTACCATAACTTATATGCCAAAGTAAATAGTGAATAAATCAATGAATTAAATTTCCCAAGGAAAAAATAGATTGAATACTCTACTGCTGAAGGTTAACATAGATCAGAATAACTTAAAAAAGAAAGAATGACATTTGGTTACATAAAAATGGGTAACTTTTGTAAATAAATCCAAACTAAAAAAAAGAAAAACTATTTACAGGATTTACGACAATAAAAGCACATAACTTCATTATATGAAGAACTCATGTATATAAATGTGAAAGCCATTAATAATCAGTCAGTGGTAAATGGGCTAAGACATGAACAAAGCTAATTCACAAATGAGGAAATAAAATAATAAACATGGAAAAATGCCCAGGCACTGCTAATCAGAGAAATACACATTAAACAAGGTACATTAAATTTGTCTGTTAAATTTGCAAATTAAAAAATATTTATTCTGGGATGTGGGTGGTGAAGGACTGAGGCAAGAGATAAGACTGACTCGCCGCATTTGCTATATGGCTGTTGCATAAGACAGGTAAAATTCTAGAACATCAGAGCTGGGGTGAAGCCCTAAAGACCATTCTAGTTTTACCTACCAGAACACTGAGGCACAGTGGGGGACATGTTACAGTTAGGGGCGTGATTTCAAATTGTAATCTCCTTAAAGACAGGGACCAAAACTACTTAAATCATAAAAATCATTTTGACTAAATAAGTCCATCAGCATGGGGACCCTGAAATTTCATCTCTCGGGCATTTGTTTTATTAGCCTCCCATCTGTCTAATGGGATAATAGTTTTGGCCAAAGAATAAAACCGGTGTGACACATTGCATAGGTTCTCACTGGCCTGATTATCTGGCTAGCAGCATTTTAAAGTGACAGCACGTGAGCCTTACCCCCAGGACATTTTTGCATTTGGCCCAGCCAACCAAAGAGCCAGAGTTTTTTTTATTTCAGCATATTATGGGGGTACAAATGTTAAGGTTACGTATATTACCCATGCCCTGAGCCAGAAGTTTTCACCAGCTATGGATGTCCCCGAAGGTCTAGATAGCCCCCCAGAATCTGTAATGGGCAGAATGTCAGCTCCGTCTTTTAAAAGGAGAGTGTAAGCCTTCAGGCTGCGTGTTGGTAAAGACTCAGAAACTTCTGCTGTGTCTTCTTCCTTCTCCAGGCCTTCAATCTTCACTCCGAAAATGACCCCAACTCATCCACACTGAGGTTAAACGTCCCTAGGTATATCGATGTTTTAGCTCAGATTCGCGCCTTAATCTAAATTCTTAAGTGAAACCTTATAACCTTTGAATTCCAGGCCTTACTCAAGTAGGGAGTGTTTCTTTCCTAGGATAGATGAAAACTACCAAGAGGTAGTCAAACTACCTCGGAAAAGGTGAGTCATGGTCGGCACAGCCAATTACTCCTGGATTGATAACAAAAACTGTCTGAAAAGGTAAAATGTAAAATCATAATTTACAAATTAAAGTCGAAAAGCTTCAGAACGATAAGGGCCTTGGCCCTCTCCACACTAAGCCGGCACGCTGCTACCTGGGTTTGACTGTTTACAAGGAAGAGACGCTGGTCTAGGAATCCTGAAGTGGGGTCAGGGAGGGCTGTGAGAACGCAGGCGCCTCGCTCTGGTGGGGCGCCGGACAAGGGCCCTGCACGGCTTCGCTAGCCCCAAGCCCCCTCTCCCCGGGGATGGCACCAAGCGACGCGCCCCGCCTCCGGCAGGCGGTGCATTTGGCTTGCGGCGCACTGAACTTCCGGCGCCGGCGTGGGAACGGGCAGACACTTCCGCCTCAGGCTTGGGGCGCACGGCCGCAGGAGGCGGCGCCCACTCTTACGCTACCTGCCACGACAGCAGCAGCATGGCGGGCGCAGAATTGCGGGCGGCGCTGGAGCAGCGGCTCGGCGCCCTGGCCATTCGCACGGAGGTCGTGGAGCACCCCGAGGTGAGGTTCCGGTTCTAAGAGTGACCACCGGGACAGCTCTGGTCCGAGTGGTGGTCTGCGTTGCAGCGTACATCAGGCGAGGCCGCTAAAACCAGGTGTTTCATGGGTAATGTACCGTAGAAACGAAGCTACAAGAGCATTTCCCGGGTCTCAAGAGTGCAAAAGGGACCTGACAGGAACAGCCCAGGCCTCCCTCGTTGGGACTATGAGGTTACTGCAAGGAAACTTTAACTCCTGGGAATGATTTGATCACGTCTCATGTTGAGAACTAGTGCAACATATGGAGAACTTGTGCATCTTAAATGAGTCAGGGGTGTTGGTCAGCTTGTCCACTTTATGCGTACGTAAGTTAAAGAGTATCAGGCACCTTACATACAGCAGGACACCAAGGTTCAGATTTGATATTTTACTATTTTGGTCAGTTTGATCAGGAGTCAAAACTAACCTTTTGCAGCATGGTAGAAGTCACCATCACCCCAAAAAGTGGTTACAAATGTGTTCACCCCTGTTTTTTTAATAAATTTTAACATGGTTTAGTGTATTGCAAATATTTCACAGAACCAATGTGTCAGTGGTGCAGGGACATAAAGTTTACCTAAGGGTTCAGCGACAGTTGATAATGGCTAAATTATGGTGATATTCAGAATAGAGAAATACATTAAAAGTTTAGTATTCTTCACTTTACAAACATAATATCAAAACTATATCATTTTCTCTTACTTTTCTCCCTCCCATATAGTCATATACTCTCTCCACCTTCTCTACCGGTGCATATTGCCAGTTTTTCTGATGTTTTGTGTCTGTTAGTCCAGGGTCTTATTCCCTGTCTTCTCACCCTCCCTACGGTTACATATTTGTAGAGTGGTGGTTGTCACATGGTCTGGATGTAATGGAATGCTAAGGAATAGGAGTCTAGGGCTGCTGTAAACATTCAGCACCAAAATTTTAAGGTTAAAAATAAACACAAGTTTCTTAGGAATGTGAGGGCTTGGCTAGCACATTGGAATAGAAGACTGGCCTAACAGAAACTGTATGAGGTTCTTAAGTGAGAAACTGAGATGGCAAGAGCTTATAATTATTTAGGCCTAGCGTGATGGCTCACATCTGTAACCCCAGCACTTTGGCAGGCCGAGGCAAGAGGATCACTTGAGGCCAGGAGTTCAAGACCAGCCTGGGCAACACAGCAAGACCCTGTACCTACAAAAAATAATTTAAAAAAATTAGCTGGGCATGGTGGTGAGCACCTGTAGTCCTAGCTACTTGGGAGGCTGAGGCAGGAGGATGGACCCTGGAGTTTGAGGTTGCAGTGAGATATGATCGATCCACTATACTCCAGCCTGGGTGATAGAGCAAGACTGTCTCAAAAAACAAACTAAAAAACCAAAAAACTAAAAGTAATTATTTGGTAATGGGCTGGAGATAGGTTTCTAACAGTAAAATTCAGGGCAATGAGTACTTACTCCCTAACCTTTTAAAGCCAGCAAGCAAAATACATTTAAGTGTGTGTTTCTGTGTGCACGTATGTACATGCATGTTTATTCTTACACTTCTCATTATGTGATATTTTATAGGTATTTACAGTTGAAGAAATGATGCCACATATTCAACATTTGAAAGGAGCACATAGTAAGAACTTATTTCTTAAAGATAAAAAGAAAAAAAGCTATTGGCTGGTGACAGTTCTTCATGATAGACAAATTAATTTAAACGAGCTTGCAAAGCAGTTAGGTGTCGGGAGTGGAAATCTTCGATTTGCTGATGAAACATCCATGCTAGAAAAACTAAAAGTTGGTCAAGGCTGTGCCACACCATTGGCACTCTTCTGTGATGATGGAGATGTGAAATTTGTTCTGGATTCTGCTTTTCTGGAAGGTGGACATGAAAAAGTATACTTTCATCCAATGACCAATGCTGCAACCATGGGATTGAGCCCTGAAGACTTTCTTACATTTGTGAAGAAGACAGGACATGATCCCATAATACTAAACTTTGATAAAAACAACTAAATAGGCTAATGTTTAGAATAAATTTATTTCTAAAAGCTGTTTTTCTTGTAATTTATAAAAGGCATTTAAAGTGTTAAGAATATTTAGTACCCTTGGTTTGGTGACTATCTAAATCACTTTAGGAGGAATACACTATTTCATTTTAGAAAAGTTCTTTTTATTTTTTTGTTTTTGAGACAGAGCTTCTCTCTGTTGTCCTAGGTAGAGTGCAGTGGCGTCATTGTTGCTTACTACGATCTCAAACTCCTGGGCTCAAATGATCTTCCTGCCTCTGCCTCCCTAGTAGCTGGGACTACAGGCTCGTGCCACAATGCCCAACACTTGGCTAACTTTTCTGATTTTAATAGAGATGAGGTCTCACTCTTGCTCAGGCTGGTCTCAACTCCTGAGCTCAAGCTGTCCTCCCACCTCAGCCTCCTAGAGTACTAGGATTACAGGCATGAGCCACCACACCTGGCCAAAAGAGCTCTTTTAAAAAATGTATTGTAGTTTTAGCTCAGAGATTCAGCTCCCTGTCTTCTATGACAATTGCTCATTATAGGAATGCCTTCAACAATTAATGCTTCTATTATTAACTAGCTTACATCTTTAGTGTGTTTATTGTACTTGAAAAAAGTTGTAAAACAGTATAAAATTTTATGCATGATAGCATACATAAAACAGGAAAAAATCAAAAGGAATATAGGAATATATTAAATTGTTGATAGTGGTTACTTTGGGGAAATAGAGATTAAAAATTACCAGCAAGATTTTTTTGAGACATAACTGTTGCCCAGGCTAGAGTACAGTGCAGTCATCATAGTTCACTGCAACCTTGAACTCCTAGGCTCAAGTGATCCTACCTCAGCCTCCCGAGCAGCTGGAGTATATGCCAGTGCCATCATATCCCACTGATTTTTTTGTAGAGACAGGGTCTTGCCCAGGCTGGTTCTCAAACACCTGTCCTCAAGTGATCCTCCTGCCTCAACCTCCCCAAGTACTGGGATTACAGTGGTGACTGAGCTCCCCTCCCAGTAAGATACTTAAACACAGGGGCAAGGGTAAAAACTTTCCATTATTGGGTGTTTGTTTTTAAACCAGTGATTTTTTTTTCAGTGAAGAATAAGCTAATTAACTGTCTATAACAATATTACAAAATTTTAGTCTAGAAAAACTACTAGAGGTAGAAAATGTTATGTCATAATATACCATTGAAATGACATTTTAAAACTCAGTTGTGGAATATAAATTATGCCATTAAAAAGGATTTTAGTCTTTGTTCAGAGATTAGAAATGTAAACATTCTTGTACAGATTTCTTCTGTTCTCTAGGCTGTATTAAATTTTATCACCTTTCAATTATTACATTCGAAACAGTATAAAAACCCAGGACAATCTGGAGTCATTTGTCATATAGAAACCATTTAAAAAATACAGAGTAAGAAAATTTGACATATTTTTTTCACCTCACGTAAACAAAATCCTTCAATTCTCATATTTTCCTCTTGTACAATAAATGGGATATTCTTTTTTTTTTTTTTTTTTGAGACAGTCTCACTCTGTTGCCCGGGCTACAGTGCCTTGGCGTCAGCCTAGCTCAAAGCAACCTCAAACTCCTGGGCTCAAGCAATCCTTCTCCCTCAGCCTCCCGAGTAGCTGGGGCTACAGGCATGTGCCACCATGCCAGGCTAATTTTTTCTATATATTTTTAGTTGGCCAATTAATTTCCTTATATTTTTAGTAGAGATGGGGGTCTTGCTCAGGCTGGTTTCGAACTCCTGACCTTGAGTGATCTGCCTTGGCCTTCCAGAGTGCTAGGATTACAGGCATGATCCACCGTGCCTGGCCTGGGATATTCTTAAAAGAACCACATTTTCCTAAGTTGATCACTCAAAAAATAATTTCCATCAGGTAGAGATGCTGTACTTAATTTGTGCCAGCATGTGTTACTAAAAGGCAAAAACTACCATTACCTTATTCTAAAGATTCCATGTTTTTAACCTACTCTGTATTGTATCTCTAAGACAAAGAGACAATCTTAGGTTGCTCTGCATATAAAATGAAGGTACTGATGAATAGAATCATAGAAATTAAGCATCTTAGGTATCTGGTCTAACTGCCCTCCCCACCTTATGGTGAAAACAGCCCCAGAATGACTGACTTGCCCAAGGACACAAGGCCAGTTGCTGTCTTTAATATTCTGCCTCCCAAAGTCTAAAAGTGAAAATAAAAGAGATTAATTTGTACAGGCTATTCGATTCTATTTAAACCTATTTTGGGATTGACAGAATTGACAGTGTCTTTTCTTTCTCCCCAAACCTCTAATATTCATCACAAGATTAGGACAGAATTAGCTAAACAAAGTTAAAGGTTATGTCTGACAACAGTTCTCCAAGGCAAAGAGATAGGAATAATAGAATAACACTTGGCTAAAAGGATGTTATTTTTAAATGATTACTAACCACTTGTTATAAAAATCACCTCTTGGTTTTATTTTTATATCAGTTTGATAAGTGAATGTTAATCCAACTTAATTTTTTAAGGAGAAACAAAGTTAAAAATTATAATGAAAAATGTTTTTTTAAAAGACAAACAATGATGTCTCTTTTGTTATGAGTTGGATGCCTGTCGCTGACATCAGGTATTGCCAAGTAATAAACATTTTGCCATTCAACTATGAATCCCTCATTCGCATTAGTTTTAAAGGAAATGTTACAGATTTTATATTATTTGATTTGGTATTTAATAACAGTTACAAGTACAATGGCAAACACTGAAAAAGAAAATCCTTAGTAGAAAAGAAAAAGACAATTTAAAGTCAGGTTTTGTTGAAGGGTGTTATAAGTGCAACTTTATCCATAAGCATTCCTTTTAAGGCATTTTCACTGTCCAAATATCTCAACACGTACATCAAGGTTTATATTATAAAATGGGCTCCTTTTGTATTACTCATTCAAGGCTTAAAGAAAAAAATACATCTCAGGATTAAGTGTAGCTGAAAAGAAAAACAGAAAAATTCACCACTTTTCTCATAAAACGTAACTTAAGATACAAAAGTCATTTAGCATACATTATTACTCCCCATTATAATTCCAGATTAGGTACAGTATCTTTTTTTTTTTCCTGACATAAACCCTTAAGACAGCACAGGCTGCAGTACTTCATTTTTGAGGTGGCTGCAATTCTGTAATATGCACAGTGATTTTTAAATAGGCTCTTACCCATGCCTTGCATGAAAGGTGCTACATACAAACCTGTTTTGTGAACTCTTTGGTAACCACCAATTTAAAAACTTGGACCAAAACATTTTCACACGGCCAGATCTGAAGCACATTATTGTAGCTCTGGGCCAAAGCTATTACCCTGTATATTGAATTCTTTAGTTTCCTTAGGGGTTTAGGTGTTGATTTAGAATAGAGCCGGATAATTAAAAGCATGTCAGGCTCCAGTTAGTTTCCAGTTGGCTTTACTATTTTGTTTGGCAGCAGCAACAGTTTAAATAAGGGAAAAGAGTGGCTTCCTACAAAGTTTGCTTCTGAAGGTATCTTGGAGAAAATAAAATATTCATGTGGTTATTATCCAGTACTTTCTTGAAATGGTCTGAAGAAAGTGATGAACATAATTCAGAATATTCTTATTTTTGCAGTCTCAATGTGTTCCCTTGGTTGTCTCTTTCATTGTATTTCTCAGAGTCAACCTACTCAGATTTAGTACTTTACAGGTTGTCTTTCAGCATTTTCTACTTCAAGCATTAATGTGCTTAACTCAGCAGGTTCTCTATTTTAGGATATTAGTGTCCTAGAGAGGCAAGCTGTATTATCATTCATCCTCATTGGGCCACCTCACACTCACTAAATTTCAACTTTCAGTAATTTTTCTGGATGTATCCTAATTGTGCAAATTAGATGCTAGCTAATATAAATCTAAGTTACCTACTTACTGTTTTTAGCTAATACATAATTTCTACATTTACTTTCAATTTATCCACCTAAAAATGAATTTACATTTTTACATGCAAGTGTCTCTCAACTGCCCTGATACCCATTACCAATTTGATACTTGAATCCAGGGAGTCATGATGGAAAGAAAGATGTTTCAAAGTCTAGAGAATAGGTTTTAAATATTTCTGTGTGCAATATTTGTATTTTAGTAAGAATCCTTTGTATTTACATTTACATAGCACCTTTCATCCAAGAGTTTCAAAATGATTTAATTTTAACAGCATTTGATGGTGAAGCCTCAGTTAATGGGGGCATTGAATTAAATAAGTTCAAGTTCTCTAACTTCCACTTCAACAATTTCTCGTCAACTAAACATGCTATGTCTCTTTTTTACTGATGGTCTTTTGGAAAGCAGACTATGAACACAATATTGATACCTGCCTACTGAGAGGTTAGGGGAGACAGACACTGATTTTTCCCATGGCTACTGGGTTACTGATGAAACACACAATTAATTCATAAACCACACACTATGGAATTATTCCAAAAAGTTCTTTTGAGCTGGTAATTAAAGCCTAAGAAGTGTACTGTTAAAATAAAAAATAGTCAATGTCTTTTTTACTTTAGACCTTAAAGATTACTCTGATATTTATGTTAATAATGAATCTGCATTAATGAGTATCAATGCATTTTTCTGGATTTCATAAGAAAATAAAACTGTGATATAAAATTGGAACTACTAAAAAAATTGATGTTTCCCTGGACTAACTAAATCTACTTTTTTTGTGCTTCTTCCAAATGTTTAAAGGTAACAAATGCATACAAATATTTCAAAAGTACCAATAAGAGTTATCAACTTTAATGTATTATAAAGGACAAAACCAAAAATTCTTATTAATAAATGATAACCTTAATAATAAATGAGCTCCTGGCAAAATGCAGATTATAGTAAATTATTTACATTATTTTTGCTATAAGAAAACTTCTTAAGCAACAGTCAGCTCTCAAGTTAAAAAAACTAACACACATACATAACCCAATACCAAAAAAGGGAAATGATTTAAAACAGAAGAGCTTCATCTTAGGAATAACATTTGTTGGAAAACCATCTTACTAAAAAAAAAGTTTCAGAAAAACACTTTAATTACCTTGGATCCATGTATGAATGCTTAGTGTTGCTTAATGGGGAATATGGAAAGATTAATATCACTATAATTTTATAACTCCTATTTAATTATGGATCTTTTAGATTTATCTTATAAACTGAATTTCTTTTGAAGTGCATCAAAATAATTGGCTTTAAGAAAAAAAGTACCAACACATGCAGTCTGCTAACCAAATAAGGCTCTGACATGCCAAAACAATTTTCTCTGTATCTTGATATATAGTACATTCCACAAAATACTACAGCATTTAATTTAGATTTATACAACTAAATATAAATGGCTAGATTTTGGCTAATACTTAGCAGAAGCATTAAGCAAACATAGATAAATTCATGAAACAAATGATGAAAGAAGTAGATTGTTCTTGGAGTACTTCTTGAAACACTTGACCTTAAAACACTTGGTCCTTAGCGAGAGAACGTCCTTTATTCTGTAGATCTTAACAGTACAATGTATAGTAGGTCCTAAAACTTTCTAAAAATTTTGGCAGTTGAATCCAGTAGTGCTCCTTGATTCAAGGAAGAAATGAAGGTTTGTATTTCTTGCCTGCTCTATTCACGAAGCATTGTTAAAAGTCTCCTTAAAGATTTTTTAAAACGATTCCTATAGTTGCTAGGTGTCTTGTTACTTCAGAAATAAAGGCTTCACACTGAGAAATTGAAGGACACTTTTCTCTCTGTATTTAGTTGGAAGGTAGAAAGAGGAAAGAAAATATAAGAGAGATAAGAGAGAGATAAAATATAGGACAGCCACTCTAAGAACAGCATGCACCAGATATTTCTATGGGAATGAGACAGTGACAGAAATCAGAGATAATTTTTCTTTGAGTGGCTCTTCAAACAATAGGCATTTAGTTTATTCTCATCAATTTTCAAGAAAATTGTGGGGAAGTTGTATTCCTACCACAAAAAGACTTCAAACTAAAAAAGGGAATTCCTCGAACATTATTCACTAGTAAAATTAAATTTAAGTTGAGAAAAAAAATAATTTTAAAATATCTGCTCCCTGCACTGATAGGTTAAAACTTGCAGCAACAAGCTAATCTTCTTGTAGTCGTTAAATAGGATAGAAAGTCAATGAATGAAGCAAGCAATATTTACATCTGTTAATGCAATGTGCACTTGTTCTCATACTTAATTTGGTTAGTTTGTATAAATGAGGCTAATCTCATTTGCATTTTAAGCAGGAAACTCACCACTTGGCCCACATGTCATGTAGTGGGGTAATAGAATTAGGAGCTTTGTTGCTCCCTTGACCTGTTTTTTGAATTTCTGCTTTCTTGTACTTTGTCCACATCTGCAGGAGAAAAGTATTTCATGTTACTTAATCAAAGGTTAAATATAATACAATTCATGAAGAAACTAAAGAGCTCTCACTGAGTAGGGCAAGGAGAAGAAAATCTGTAACTGGGAAATTTATTAATCTGACACACATCTCGATACTTAATGACTGATCTTTACATTTGAAAGCTATAAATAATATTCTTAGGAAAGCTATAACTTTTAAAAAAACCTACAACACTAATATTTTTTCCCCTCTTACCATCAGACAGGCTTACTTACTATGTTTATTTACTGAATGGTCACCATACCATTTTAAAGTAAAAACAATCTTGCAGGTAGCAGCACAAACATCTACCATGAAATATCTGTATTATTTACTAAGAAAACCAGGGCTCAGGCATGTTTTGTAGGAAAATAATATACTTACTTATACAGCAAAAATTGGTTTAGTCAAAGGGGACTCAATGCATAAGAATATGTTTACAATGTAACACAAATCATATTGGGTATAATTTCTAGAACTTAGGCCAGGAATACTTGAAAGCTATTCAGTTTCATCATATTTAAAATTAGGGTACTAAATCTTCAGATAGTTTTTCAAATCATTTGTGAAGCTGTAGGATATTTATGGAGGTGTCTTAGAAGAAATAAGTGCAATGGCTTAATTGAGTCAGAGTAGCTTCACTTTTATCTTAAGGATTTTTCTTTTTTTAATTTTGGGCATCTGTGTAAGATTTCATTTACAGAAAGTATTATTGTGACTTTTTTTAATGTTTGTGAAATACTGGTTCCATGATTTTTAAGGTTTTTGCTACTGATAAAAATTTGATTCCAGGGGCTATGAAAAAAATGTAGGTAACGAACTATTGCTGTTTTGGGGGAACTTTGACTCCACAGCAGATGGTGGTTTCTGGAGGAAGTCTAGACTCTATTTTTAGTCAGTCCTCAATACACATGGACATGCTGCTATATATCTGTCTTACATGCACAGTATATATGTTCTTTTTTTTTCTATTTTTTAAAAATAATTTTCCTTTTTTCTTTCTCTCTCTCTCTCTCTTTCTTTTTGTTATACCATGTCCCATTGATCCTGGAATATATGTTCTTTTTGAAAACATGCTGTATATGTACCTGTAGCCATTTGGGTGGAAAATACTTCTTTCCTGTAAGTCTAATATTGTAAAATAATCACTCAGTTTTTAATATAGTAGTGTGATTTTTCAATGTATTTGGAATGAAAACAGTCAATATTTTAAATGTAAAGTGTTATGGCCAGATTTATAATATCTAAAAGGTTGAAACAACTGTGAAATAATCTTTGACTCAATGTGGAAAAGAAATAATACTAATTGACATCTGTGTCATATATGGCCCCCATCTAATCTCAGCTATATCTACCATTATATTTTATTACTAGGTTATGGAAAAAGAAAAGGGAGAATATTCACAGCAAAAATATTTAAATTGTTAGGACTGGGCCACAATTGACAATAAGATAGAATGATGTATTCATGCAGAAGGTATACTGTGGTAGTAAAAAATATGAAAAATTTCTGATTCTGCTCATTTGATTACCTGCACTAGAACCATTTTTAGTAAAGGCTATGAGAAAAAAAGTGTGGTCAAAGATATAAATGGAGGCCAGACGCAGTGGCTCACGCCTGTAATCCTAGCACTCTGGGAGGCCAAGGCAGGCGGACTGCTTGAGGTCAGGAGTTCGAAACCAGCCTGAGCAAGAGCAAGACCCTGTCTCTACTATAAATAGAAATTAATCGGCCAACTAATATATATAGAAAAAATCAGCTGGGCATGGTGGCGCATGACTGTAGTCCCAGCTACTCGGGAGGCGGAGGCAGTAGGGTTGCTTGAGCCCAGGAGTTAAGGTTGCTGTGAGCTAGGCTGACGCCATGGCACTCACTCTAGCCGGGGCAACAAAGTGAGACTCTGTCTCAAAAAAAAAAAAAAAAAAAAGATATAAATGGAAGGAGCCTAGTCCCCAAAATGATCTTGTGTAAGTACAAGAGGATATCTTAATTTACAAAGGACACATATTTCATTATGCAAAGATTCTCTACAGATTTTTTTCCTTAGGTTCAACTAATAACAACTTAATACAATAACAAGTATAAAATAGCAGTTTCCTTCCCACTTAGAAAGTTACATTTTAAGACATTCCTTCCAAGTGTCAGGTTGAGTTATCAGTAATATTTAGGCTGAATCAAAATGATTACTAACCAAAATCAGTTACTCCTCTAGGAGTAACTGAATCAGGGTTACAAGTTATTATTTTTTTTAATATTCTGGGAGTTAGTGATTCAAATTTAGCTGGTTAACTTTAAACATGCTATGAACACAGGTCATTTAAAATTTCATGACATTGGAATTAGCAAATATTTTCTCTTATATGGGTTTTTTCTTTTAGCTAGAGTTTGTATTTATTATGACAAGGTAAAGAGTTTGTATTTATCATCTAAAATTTGTTCTACTAAAAACATACTTGTTTGTTTAAATGGTTACAAGTCCTACTTTTTACATTTTAGCATAATGTATTTTTAAAAATTGTTTTAAGGAAATACACATATAATCTAATAGTTATAGAAGTAACAATTTTCACCACTCTGTAAACTTAGTATCATTTTGGTATAGAAGTAAAAATACAAATTTTCAACACAATGAATGCGACTTGGTTTATTTCTCTTTGACTTTATATAAAAAAAGAACTAGAAAAACTATTGTTAACTGCTTCCAAGTAAATAAGTCGTCTTGAAGGAAAGAGCTCTCATATTTATCAGATGAAGAAGAGTGCAAAGAAATAAAAGTAATACAAATGCTCCTAGGGTACTGTGTAAGTCACATTTAAATTTGATAGGGTTTTCTAGGAATAACACTAAATTTATGAGTATTAACAATGTTTTAAATCTGAACAATGTTTTATAAATATGGGCATTAGTTGATATTTGCTATATAGTGTTAAACTGAATTATTAACTATTTCTTTGAAAACAGGACAGATAACATAATTAAATGGCAAAAGAAAATGACATCTTTTTACATACTTTCCTTACTAATACTGTACATGTGCAATATAAAGTACACATTCTGAAAAAAAAGAAAGGAAGAATGTGAGAGACAAAGGGGAGAAAGAGGGAGGAAAAGAGAATATGAACATTCTTTCTTGGAAGCAACAAAGCAAATATGATTTGGAAATGCCTTCTTGGTAAGGTAGCATGCAACTGTTTTAACATGCTTCTAGATATCAATGTAACAATCTTTTATCAGGCAATAAAAAATGTGAATGAAAAAAGCATGTATGCTTAAGGTTTTTCAAGGCATGCAGAAAATGTACAATGCAATTAATATTTCATGCAGACTTTGATGTGGTTACACATTCACATTTATATACATGCTATCATGTACAGGTGAACACTATGCAACAATTTAAAATAAAAAATATAAACCTAGCCAAACGATACTTTTCAACAGCAGCTCTTCAAATCAGATTAGAGAAGCACAGTGTATATCAAATAACATCAATATATCATATTGTGCAGTTCTGATCATACACAACCATATTCATACCAAACAGTTTGATTATCCTCAGAAACCAACAATGCAGCTTCTGTGTTATCAGGATAGAGGCATGCAGGAGTGACAAGATTATTGCTATTCACAGAAGACTGTGGTTTACTGTTACGGAAGTTCTGATTATCAGAAAACTGTTCATTATCTTTCTGTGCAGCTTTATCCAAAGAGGCAGAAGCCTGGTCAGTTACTCTGGTGACTGGCCTGAGAGGTAACCCACTTATATTACTAACTAATTCTGTATTCAGGGATAAAAATGGCTGAGATGAATGAGCCATAGTAAATGACTCTATGCTATTCTTTGCTGATATTCCAAATGCATCACTAGGCACATTAACAGTGGCAAAAGTTTGGTTTAGAAAATGTGACCTTTCTGTTTTTGAGTTTCTAGCCTGTGTACATAGAGACTCAGGCACACCTGTAGTTAATGTATCTTGGGCACAAGAACCTACAGCATATGTTGAACTGTGAAGTGTGTGAGAGGACCACTGGTATAAACGGTACTCACTAGATGCTGCAGTGGTGTTGCTATCAGCAGCAGCTGGTGGTGAATCAACTGATACAGGCAGTCTACTGTCCTTAGTCAAAAAATCATGGATGCTTGTCCTTCGTGTAGTTCCTTCGGCAGTGGAGATCACACTGCTTGCACGAGGTAAAGTGGCATAAGGGTTACTATCTTTTGATTGTCGTGACAGAGAAGTTTCTTTTACCAATTTTATCTTTCCCTGAGTGCCTGGTAAAGGTTTTCCTGCAGAACTAATGAAGTAGCTTTCTTCAGTCTTTCGAGGACCAGGTCTCACAAACTCAGGCTTAGTTGTCCGTCTATCATAGAAGTCTCCTGGGGTTTTTCCACTTACTGATCTGGCCAGACCACAACTAACTGGTTTGTCTTTTCCCAAAAAGTCAGATGAGACAGACAAACTTTTCATTACTTCATCTAAAAGATTCTCTTGACTTGATGACTTTATCTGTTAAAAAAAAAAAAATCAAAGTCCATTAGTGATACAGTCATGTTTACTATTCTGATACAGTAGACTGGACAGTATAAAACTGCTGGTATTTCTTAACACTTTTTAACTGAAAAAAGCTCTAAAGTTCAAGTTTCTATATATAAAGAAATATAACTTAAGGTGTTCATCTAAATTAAGGTCACCATAGATAAAACTAACCTGTATTGAGGTAAGCTTGTTGCTTTCTTCCAAAAACTGTTGCAGAGTAACAATTTCACTTCCGGGGGAACCAGTTTTGATCCTGTGATAGGCTCGACTCTCTGACGTTTCAGGCATTTTGTGCTGGAGCACTGGACTTGATCTAGTTTGTCTTTTCCAGTACTGGATTGGACTGCTACCACTGCTGGACCAAGCCTCATGATCATGAAGGAGGCTAAATTCTCCACTGCTGTGGCTTTGTGGCCTACTTTGGCTATTAACTGCACCTGCTTTTGGAGTAAATGGTGTGTTGAGATTTCAATAATAAAAATGAGATTAATACTATATAAATAATAATGTTTGTTGACTGGCTTTTAATTACATGAATAGGGAAACTTACTTTCACACTTTTTTAGAAATGCTTAGTAAACCATGTTATTCCTTCATCAGTCTAACAATTGTCTGCCATAGTCTGCTTCCTTATTTTGTCAAATTGACAAATACTGTAAGCTCCATAAGGGCAAAGACTTGCTTTTACCACAATACCCAGAGCCTAAACAGAGCCTCATATAAAGCAGGCACTCAATACACTTGATGAGTTAAATGAATAAATTAAATAAATGACTGAATATACATTTTTAAAAATTCAGGTTCAAATAATTGTAAAACACTTCACAATTCAGAACAAAACATAATTGTATGAATTTTAAATTATTTTAGAATATTAAAAACAAACTGTTATAAATGCAACAAATTCTATTCTAATTTTTTGCCTCTCTATGAAGTCCTCATTACTTACTTAAGGGCTTCTCTGTTCATCCTAAATGAATAACCGTAAAAGTTTTTTTTTTAATTTAATACCACACATATAAAGAAAGACAAATAAAAACACAATACAATTACTTAGAGAATTCCAGTAAAAGTAAAAAACTGAATATGTATTTTTTTTTTAATGTCTGAATCATCTGATTGTTCCTGATGTCCATTATTGGTATGGTGCCTATATAACCTTAAAAGACTCACTTGAGGTTGAGGAACTACATAAAATGCCAATTAACAACTTCTAGAATAAAAGTTCCTAAAATCTATGCTATTATTTAAGAATATTGATTCATTTTGATCAGTAGCAAACTGTATAATATATCAAGACAGAAAACAGCTTTTTATGGTTTCCTAATTATAGAGAACCATGGAAGAATTTGGCTCAAATTATGTAACATTTTACAGAAATAAGATTGTCTGAAATTTTCAAATCAGAAAAAATCTTCATATATTTAGAATATATTTTTCTACTACATGTAAGAACACGATTATAAAAATCCCCTCCTCAAAATCAGATATTTTATATCACTGCAACAAAGTCATAGCATTAATGATAAAATAAAATTACAGCTGAGACAAACTAACTTCATAATATATAAAGCATGCATTCATTATAATTTGACAAATTGGACTATAGAGAATAACTGTAATATATTGGTTAAATAATTCCAGAACCTGAGAGGCACTATATCTTTAAGGAAAAAGGTTTTAGTCAAGGTTTCCAGACATTTACATAAAAACCTCATCTTGGAATGCATTTTAAAAAATTAAGGAAAAAAAAATCTTGAAATAATTCTTTTTCTTTCATTCTTTTTTTTGAGACAGAGTCTCATTCTGTCGCCTGGGCTACAGTGAGATCTTCCTGCCTCTGTCTCCCAAGTAGCTGGGACTACAGGTGCAAACCACGATGCCTGGCTAATGTTTCTATTTTTAATAGAGATGGGGTCTCACTATTGCTCAGGCTGGTCTCGAACTCCTGAGCTCAAGTGATCCTCCTGCCTCAGCCTCCCAGAGTGTTAGGATTACAGGCATGAGCCTTGAAATAATTCTTTATATGAGCTATTCACATTCATATAGCTCTTGTTCAACATACACACACACACACACACAATTGCTTCTCAAATTAAAAGCAAAATGCTTCCCCTTTTTTGTGGATAAATTAAGCTAAAAGTATTTCTAAAATATGAATAATGTGAGTTCAATGTACCTGCATCATGAGAAAATTAAGGACAGCCATTTTTATGTCAAAGACAAAATGTAAATAAAATAAGGACCTACAAATAATTTAGAAGTATAAAGATGACATAAGACTTTTATCTGTGAAGATGAAAAACTGAAACCAAAATAACTGCTCCTGTTTTTACATTTGTATACATTGAAATACATTTGTATTACAATGTGAGAAGTATAAAATGGTCCAAAGAACTATGTTGCAAACATAGATGATTTGGATTTCATACTTTACCCCAGAAACTTGATCCCATCTCCTACTTTGAAATACTGGAAATGGATGAAGTACATTAATAAATTTACCTACAGCATACCTTTGACTTCATGGAGTGAAGCATTATTATTGCTATTGCTAGTGGATGTTCTGCCACTATCAAGGCTGGCTGGTCTTGAAGCTAAATGAAAAAATCAGGAGACAGTGTGATAAAACTGGTTGATGACACTGATGGGCTCTACATTCTGATCACAGAATGCTTTGAGGAAGCAATCATGCATACTTTCACAGGCTGAGCATGCCCACAGAGAGCTGAATCTTACAGATTAGAAAGCAAAGGCATTTCCAGGATAGTTCAGTAAGACATTTTTAGAACAGGACACTCCTGAAACAACAGTTGAGATTCAAAGAAAAGAGGATAAAGTGCATATTTAGATTTGAGAATGATTTCTAGATGGATACCAGGACTGTTTTAATTGAATAGAATGACATGTCCCCCCAGTCCTCCCAAAATGCTAGTGATTAGGTCACTTACAACAGATCAGACAAGGAACCCTGCACATTGCAGAGATGCCACGAAGAGGATGGATATGAGCATCTGCACAGTTAATGTCCTGCATTCCTATCCACACAAGGGAAACAATTGTACAGTTAACACTGCCTATGCTACTTCTTAAAATGCTGCTTATATATGACAAATTCTTTAACATGTTATCCATTTATTGTTAATAATTTAGTTTGGTAAGATAAGATTTTTACCAAAATCTTATCTGAAATAACACTGAAGAAAATTGGGTTTCTTAAAGTTCATCCTTTAAAATAAATGTTTTTAATATTTTAAACCAATATATTTTTATATTGGCATTTTAAACCAATGGTAAAATGTAACTTTTATTACTTTAAGCTTATACAAAAATGGTAACAAAATTACCTTTGAGGATTGTGCAGGCATACTTTATAAATGACCTTGACTAAAATAGAGAACACTTAGATGAAGAAATAATCTTAAAAGAGGCAAAAGCGAATATTAGGTTTGAAGAAATGGTAGAGGTAACTATGAGATGCAGGATAGAGAAAACATGCTTGCTGGCAATGCCACATTCACCTAGTCAATGCAAGAGTTTTAGCATTCCCATTCTGTATTTAATATGTACTCTCTAAATAAAGTTCATATCTTACCATGAACTCTTGATCCCGTACTAGAATCATCACTAATACCTTGTGGACTTATGTCTTCAAAGGATGTAGTATCTACATAAAATAGCAAAATGAATATAAAAATATTTTTGTTTAAAAAATTCCATAATAAAATTTTATTTATGCAGAATATGGAAATTCTTTTTCAATCATGATAAAACATCTTGATTTAACATATTCCATAGATTCAACCAGAAACTAGGAGTAAGAAACAGTAGCTCTAATGAGAGTTGACTTGCTTAGGGAAAACACCAGAAGCAATGAAACAATCTCCCCTGTGATCCTGCAGAGCAAAGCAAGAGCCTGGGTTCTGGGTGGTTCTCTGAAACTGTAGTGCTTTTAGGTTTTTATAAAAAACTTCTATCACTCCCTCCTTTTTTCACCCTTTACCTGGTTTACTTCTCCTTTTCTTGTTAGTTCATTAGCTGTTTATTATGAAAGGAAGCCTAGGAAAGATTTTAATTATTTGTACAATGTTTTAAATTTTTGATATGACTTGAAAATTCCCCCAAATCAAATACAGATCAAACTTTCATAATTATTTCAGGTTGTTGCTTTTAAAAAAAGTACACAGGGGAAAGTCAAACTAAAATTCCTGTTGCCAACAGTTACACCACAGTGCAAATAGCAGACGGCCTATACCTTTATTATTAACCAATTGCTTGGATCTGAAGCCTGCAGAAGAGTTGACAGTTGAAAAGTTGATGGCTGTAGTAGAGAAGGCCATAGCTCCCAATTCTTTTCTCCTTTTACCCGTTGAAATATCATCAGGAACCTCCAAATTCTCAGTACTACCTGTCCACTGTCCTGCTAGGACCATGGACTGCACCAGGTCATTCATGGCTGGGATGCAAATGAAAGCAAATGAATCAGCATGGTTAATGTATTTGCTCTTAAATCTATTTTGTATTATAAATGATCTGGTTTTTGTCCATGAATTAATGCAAACGGACATCAAAAACTATAACCATAAGGTCATCTGAATTATGACATGCATTCAGCTGAATGAAATGAGTAGGCCAAAGGCTGATAAATTTCAGTAAATACTTTTATCCCACCTCCACCCCCTTTAAAAGACAGAGAAAGAAATTTTACTATGTACAACTGCCATGCTTTTGCGCAGTGATGTGCAATATAATTAGAAGCCTTCAAAAGGTGGTTTTGTGATGACAAAAATGGAATGAATAAAGGTAAGATGGAGAGCAGTTCTTATACAGCATCATTATTGAAAATGAGAGTCCTTGGTCAGAGCAGGTTACTGAAGAAATTATTCATTTTATGAATCAAATAAGTATACCATTCAATAAAAACCTGAAAGAGATGATATCCAAAGTGACAGACATTTAATGTGATTATGTAACTACCCATTCCACTTAGAAAAAGAAAACCCAGAATCTTATTATATAAAGAATGACAAACATTTTGAAGGGTTACAGGCCATTTTATTTATTTATTTAATCTGGTTCATTAAGAAAATAAATTCCTAATGCTAAATGTTTTGTTGTATTTTCCTTAAGTAAATTTCTTTGGGAAAAAAATCTCTATGGCATATAAAATTAAGGGTTTTTTTCTGCCAACTTTTACAAAGCACTGGTAATTTATAAGTATATTACATATATTACTAAACATATGCATGTATATGTATCAGTGGACATACATATAATGCAAATTCAGTGCCAGTTTTGAAAAAATTTTCTTCCAGCTCCTTGTATTAGAGGAAGACTGCACTTTGCAAAATAAGGAAATTGGTACAGTCCAGAGAAAGGTTAGTGAAAAATTAGTAATGAAAGCCAGTGTAGTCATTTGAAAGAAGCTGAACTGTCATAAAGTCTTACACATGGAACGACGGTAGCAGGCCTTCATTTTGTCTTTATCCTTCGGTCTGTTCCTCAAAAAGGGCAGTCTTTTCAGTGCAACCACTTAATGTCAGAGCATGAGGAAAAACAGAAACAGGGAAATGAAAGAAAAAAGGGAGAAGAACAGATGGGAGTTAAATGTTGAAATTAAGGACAGAAATGAATGTTTGAGTTTCAGCTATGTATGCTATATTAAAGTTATTATTCTCATGCTGCTGAGTGATAATGAAATATGAAATATGTACTTTGATACTTTAAAATACTTGGAAAAGCACTGAAGACAATGATGAGGAACATATACTTGGAAAGCTTGGATTGGCTACAGTCCTATAAAAACATGACTTGATTAAAATTACTTATGGAGGGATCAATTTTCCTAGTTAAGTTGTCAACATAAACCTTTAAAATTAGGGTTACTGGTGGGTCACAGAGTGTACATGATGAAAATGTACAAAGCTCTTCAAGCCTCTATTTTCCTTAATCTTTTAAATTGTAAGGTTTTATTTTGGAAAACAAAAATAATCTAAGAAAATGCATACTCTTCCAGAGTATTTTAGTAATATACATCAACAAAAATCAGGGTGCCAAAGGGATGTTTAAAACAATCTAAAGAAACTAAAAAAATCGCATTAAAAGGCCGGGCACGGTGGCTCACGCCTGTAATCCCAGAACACTGGGAGGTCGAGGCAGGAGGATCACTTGAGCTCAGGAGTTTGAGACCTGCCTGAGCAAGAGTGAGGCCTTGTCCCTAAAAAAAAAAACACACACACATTAAAAACTTTCATTATTTTCTTAGACTTTAATAAGGAAAATAAGAAATTACTTCTTGCTTTAAACTAGATTCTGGTGCATTTTCAGCAGCACCATGGAAATATACATTCTTTCTACCAAAGTCTTTCTAAATATGAAAAAGCAAGTATGTTAAATTCATTTTGCAGAAGGTTGGCTGGGGGAAAGAGAAAAATTATTTTGACAGTAGTAATAAATGTTAGCACTAAGCTCCGATAAAGCTAAAAGATAAGAAGGCACCTCAAAGCAAGCAAAAATGAGAGAAAAATATGTATAACATTTTAAGCTATTTTGAAGGGCTTCCTGGGTGACTTTAATTTTGTGAATAAAAGTTGGGGTTATCACTCAAATACGGGAGTCATTAGGACAAAAATTAAAACGTTCACTAGAGTCACTAACAATTCTTAAGCTACATTTTTAGGAAGACTGAAATATAAAGATCATTATACCTTTTAGAAATGTAATTTAGGACTTAAGAAAACAACTTGTATAAAGACTTAAAACAGATGACGCCTGTATGGAAAGTATCCAGCCACAGATACAATGGATACGTGAATACAATGACCGGGTACTTTCGCACAACTCTTCTATTATATATACTCCATGCTCTTTCTCAGGGTTTGCTATCATCTTGTAAATAATCAAAGGTCTTTTGTCAAACTGACAAGTGCCATTGATTAAAGACAGTGCAATGGACATACAGCTTTTTAACTTGTTTCATCCCTATTAGAAGAGTCATGATTCGTTTAAGCTTTTAAGTTGCCCTATTTCTTTTCAAACTTGGTAAACACAGCTGTTTTCAATGATTAAAAAGAAATGAACTGAAAGCAATATAAAAATGGACACTTAGCTAAAATAAGGCTGAGTGGTTGCAGCATGAACACATTATCTTATTTAGATACTTTTTTTTGTTTCTGTTTTCAATTGTTTGCCAAAAACTACTTTACTGACAGATACTCCTCCAAAATGGACAGGATAAACGAAGTGATACATTATGGCAATTAGTTTGTAGATATATAATGTTCATTTCCCAAAGCATAATGAAATAAGGGAACTTTAGTATCACTGGGTTTTAGATTTATTATTAAAATTCTAAAAGTGAACAAGTGCAAAAGAGGAGGATATTGCTTCCTTCTGATTCTTATCTTGGATGTTTTAGCAGAGAATATGAAAGAATGGCAGATTTATACTTAATCAGAGAAGATGTCTTCAAAAAAGACTGTTGTACTTTTCTGGTATATGCTCTTGTATCTGAATTGAAATATCTTCCTTTAATTTAAAAAAATTAAGTATACCCATTACCATTTCTCAGTTAATGACAGATATTTTATATCTAAAGTTCATAAAATTAACTTATTTGCTACCCTTTAAGGAAAAGTTAATGATTTCTCTACAACAGTAACTATACCCACAGGTTTTTTTAAACATTTTTTTTATTATCTCATATTCACCCACAGGTTTTATGTAGATTTATCTGGTAGACAAGTCCAGATAGCAAAAAACCCAGTGTAACAAGAATCTTATGTGGGAATATAAAATTAAATGCTTTCTCGAGACTAACCTATATATGTATGTGCATGTGTACAATGTTTTTTTGTTGCTTATCTATGGGTTCTAGTTTTTTGGCTGCTGTAGTTGCCTTCTGAAATACACCCATGATGTCTAATATCCTATACACTAAAATATTGTCTTTTCAGAGATAATTCACCTGAGACTAAAACCTTGTATATAGAGTTTTGAGTGCTTTGAGAATTGCCCATATGGAAAGTCAACCCCTGGGAGAGGAATCACCTGCATTTATCTTCTATTTAACGAAAAAAGGTGTGTGTTTTTTTAATTAGTGGCACAGGTTATTGAGAGGATGCAAAGTATCCTGTTTATATATTTTGTAAGAACACTGATAGTAATCAACTTCTTAGACATCTTCAAAGGGCTTAGTATTAAATTATTTTGTCTTTCTCTTGAAATACACTTCTTTAGGCTTTTACTTTGCTCTTACTGTTTAAGCATACTAGTAACAAAATAAAAAGGCTATGAATTATACAGGGAACATTATAATGTGATAGTTCTAAATTTGTAATAAAATTAAATCATAAGCTTACATACAAACTTTTATCTCCCTACTTATTTTATAATTGATCCTTTACAAAACAATCTCTAGATAATTCAATTTGATACCAAAGTATGTAAACTAAAACTTCATTACAAAATGCTGTATTCTGATTAAGTTATAATTATAAAAATGAAATCTTATACATATTTCTCGCTTGCTGTCACAATCACCCTGTGAAGTATGAAGCAAAGGTGAAGGACTTGCCCGTATTAACAGAACTAGCAAGTAGCAGAGGTATTCTGGCTCTTATTTCAATGTTTTTTTTTTTTTTTTTTTAAAGACCAGGGAATATTTCAATGTTTTTTATGCAGTATTTTACCCCCTTGGCCAAATGATGATATCCCTGTATATGGTATATCTCAGAAAAATCATGTGGTTGTGCACTATTACAGTATGCAATTAATTTTATAATTATATGAAATTAAAAAGAAACTCCATTCACCAGACTATTGCCCCAAAGGACTGTTGAAATTTTTTAGAAAGAAATCTTTAGAAAGGACTCTAAATCAATACTATGTTTAAAGAGTTTAAGCACTCACTGCTGCTTTTCTTGGTCCCCAAGGTTTGGCCATCTTCTAAGGAGTTTGAACCCACTGAAGAACTATCTTGACTATCTTGATGGGGAAGCTGAAGAAATCCTTCACTGGAGTCTGAACGGGTAGGTGTTAATGTCAGAGATTTCTGACGTTCTCGATTAATATCTTTCTTAGATTTTATCAGTTTTCTCATTTTTAGAGTAATCCAGTTGCCTCTCCTAATAGAATTAAAAAAATTCTTATCAGTCTAAAATTCAATATTTTAATCCTTCAAAAACTTAGAAGTCTTCACAATATTAAAACTAAGTTTTTTTCAAAATAAAAATTCATAAAATTTGGTTAATGGTACCTTCTAGGAGGAGATGGGTCATAAAATTTGTATTGGTCCATAATTTTCTCTTCTAATTTCTCCTTTTGCCGCCTTAATTCATTTAATTTATCACTATAAAAATAAAAAATTATATTTTAGGACATGGATATTTTGCACAGCTGTGAAACACATTCAATTATTTTGTGACTATGATCTAACTTCTCCCCAAAACAGAAAAAAATACAGCTATCATGATTGACAACTAGGAGTTTATTATTTATTAACAATGGAATAGCCAGGCGCAGTAGTTCACACTTGTAATCCCAGCACTTTGGGAGGCCAAGGTGGGAGGATTGCTTGAGACCAGGAGATCAAGACCAGCCTGAGCAAGAGTGAGACCCTGTCTCTACAAAAAATAGAAAAATTAGCCAGGCATGGTGCCACGTGCCTGTAATCCCAGCTACTCAGGAAGCTGAGGCAGGAGGATTGCTTGAGCCCAGGAATTAGAAGCTACAGGTTATGATGATGCCACTGCACTCTAGCCCGAGCAACAGAGTAAGACCCTAGCTTTAAAAAATATATATTTTCCATGTTTCTCTTTTTCTTTAAATTTACAAGTTACTTAAATAAAGGAATATAAGATTTAAAGTTTTAATTCTTTAACAGGATTTATTTATTTTCCATATAATCTTGTCCTATAGAGGAACTCTCTCAACAACTTTTTATAGCTATTAAACAAATATTATATCAACATTGGTTATTTCCCTATTCTTGGATCTTTAGTACCTCAAAAATCATTTTTGGAATGAAGGAAAGTATTTATTACAATTTATATAAGCAAAAAATAAAAATGTTGGGTATTTAGTTTGCTTACAATTATACAGAAATAATAAATGATCCTGCAACCATATATTTATGCAAATGCATTTTGGGGCAGAATTTAGGCCTAATTTACTTGTAGAGAATTATTTCCTTACTCCAGCAATACATGAGTATACTAGCTTCACCACATCCTAGTCCCATTTTTATGTTGTATTTATTATAGAGAAATATCAAAAATCACAGACCAAAGTAATTTCTTAAAAAAAAAAATAAATCCATAATGCCAAAGAATAATATTTACTCAAGAAATATCAGTGATCATTTATAATGAGGAAGGTATAAAGTATGTATAAAGATAAATAATAAGTAGTTCTGCTTATAATATAGTACAAGAAAGAAGATATATATATATATATATATATATACACACACACACAAAAAAAAAATACTCCAAGGCAATAATACCACCAAAATAAAGCACTGTGAAAGTACAACAGGAAATCATAACAGGGAAAATATTTCCATCTTGGATGACCAAAAATATCCTCATGAAGAAAAAGGCCATAATCTATAGGATCAAAAGATAAAAATGCTAATTTAAGTAGTTTAGCCTGAATGTAGGCTGGGGATAAGCCATGAGGGAGTCTCGGGTTTAGATTTTGCTCAGTAGGAAATCAGATACACTGAAAGATTCACTATAAAGTGGTATTATGAAATCTTTGCTTAAGATATATTAACCCAATGATGGAATAGGATGTATCAGAAAGGCTGGCAATAAAGAAAGCATTCAGTAGGCTAATGGGGGTAGTCTAGTTGAGACGAAGGCTGAATTAGAATGGTGGGAACTGGGAGGAGCTGGTATGAGAGATTCTGTAGAAGATGCTTTGAGAACAAATATTGCTAACAGTTATACCACAGCACAAATAGCAGGCAAGCTGTACCATTATTATTAGCAGGTGGCCTATATCATTGTTGTTGTTGTTATTCTTATTCTAGAAATGGAATATTGCTCTGTTTCCCAGGCTGGAGTGCAGTGTGTGATCATAGCTCACTGCAGCCTTGAACTCCTGGGCTCGAGCCATCTTCTCGCTTCAGCCTGTGACTACAGACGTGTGCCAGTACAATCAGCTAATTTTTAAATTTTTTGTAGAGATGAGGTCTTGCTATGTTGCCCATGCTGGTCTCAAACTCCTGGCCTCAATCGATCCATCCACCTGGACCTCCCAAAGTGCTGGGATTACAGGCGTGAGCCACCCTGCCTAGCCTATACCTTTATTATTAACTACCTGATTGGAACTGAAGCCTATGGAAGAGTTGACAGTTGAAAAGTTGATGTCTGTAGAACAGAAGGCCATGGGCCCAATTCTTTTCTCCTTTTACCCACTGAAATATCATTAGGAGCCTCCAAATTCTCAGAACTACCTATCACTCCTGCTAGGCACATGTGATAGAGGCATTCGGCTAGAAATGTCTGATATGTAAGATGGATATTTGTGATTTAAATTCAATCAATCAGTATAGATTAAAATAATCTTTGGAAGTCAATTATATAGACACAATCACTGACACCCTGGAAATGCATTAGTCACCAGGGGTCAGAATATCAAGACAACAAAGCTTTGGATAATGCCTTCTCTGAAGAACAAGAGACTCAAATGCCCAGAGCTTTATATACACTCAGTGCTTGTTAACCTAAAATACCTCTTATAGCAGAGAGTAAAGGAATACATATCGCTGTGAAAGGACTGAAGGTGTAGTCCAAAGTGGCCAGCCACAAAAGTGAAATTTCTTTGAGGTTTTGCATTTATCTTATAAGTTTATGCAAACTCTGCCTTTTGCTCCATAATATACCTGTGTGTTACTATAGAAATAATGTTCTCTACCCCAAAATTCTGTAATAAAATTAATGCTTCAGGAAAATGTATGACGTATCCTAGTCTCACATGTGCCCTGACTTGCCAACATGTACATTAAGTTTGAAAGGTATTTCCTTAGGATAATCTGGGAAGTAGATATCATTATCTCTATTTTAGAGAAGAAGAAACTAATGATCAAAAAAATGAAGTGACTCAATTTTGGTCACATGGCTAGTGAATGGAAGAGCTGGGATATGAATCAGCTATCTGATTTCAACAACTGTGCTATTTCTATTATACTGTGGTGCTTCTCATTTATGAGGCATGAGGAAGAAAGGTGAATTTAGTAAAGGTGAATCATTGTATAATACAAAGAATACCCACTGAGCTGCCCAGGCCAAAATCCCTGAGTTTTACCAGATTCTTTTACTCTCAATGGAGATAGAAATTATCAATAATTAAGCCCTGTTAACTCCCTCCCTCTCTCCGCTCTCTATTTCTCTCCTTCTCCCCCCTGTCCCTCTCCCCTCCCACCTCATATCTCTTGTAGCTTGATCTTAACTCCTTTGTTTGGCAAAACAAAAAAAAAAAAACCTTTGTGAATTGGCTCCTGACTGTTTAGCCACTTCTATACTGGCCCCTCTTCCTCAATTTTGCTCTAGCAAGAACAATTAATTTTTAGGTCCTATACCACACCACAAAATACTTTTATCACACCTCCAAGATTTTGCCTTCTGCTCTCTTGGCATGGCATGCCTCCTCAAACAAACTCCTGCTGAACTTTTAAGTCTCAGCTCACGTTTCATCTCTCTTAGACTAAAGTGCTCCTTCTTCCCCTGTATTTGCTGTATTTCCATGGCCTCCTACATATACCTCCATTATAGAATTATTGTATTTACATGTTTATTTGTATTCCTCACTTTATATTACTAATTTCTTTTCTTTTTATTTTTGGAGACAGAGTCTCGCTTTGTCGCCCAGGCTAGAGTGAGTGCCGTAGCATCTATATTACTAATTTCTTAAGAGCAAGATTAATAATTTTATGTTAGTATATCTGGTTATTAACATAGTGCCTGGAATATAAGCACTCAAAAAATATGTTTAAATATGTTGAAAATCAAGAAAAATTAGCATGAGTTTTCTCTGCCACTGGGTATGGTAATGAAAAAATCATGAGTAATATTTCAGAGTACAAAATTATCTGGTACCTACATGTATTGTCTTTGTTCAACATGAAAAAGATCTTTGCTTTCCATGTTCTGTTCCAATAGTGTTCTGTTCTGCAGCATTAATGTCTGGATTTGATCTAGTAGATGTCGATTTTCTTCTTCTAAATTTCCTTTAAGTTGGCTTAGCAACTGTTTAAACACAAACATTTATTTTCAAAAAACCAACATTAACATTTAACATAAATCACCCAAAACATCTGAAAACCATAAAGTACTTCAAAAAGACTTAAGTCTTCCACTATTTGAACAATTAGATGATTGCACTTTGATCAGAACGTGATTATTTTAGTGATAATGATGGACTGCACTGGGTTACATGATGTACCTACATATTTTCTTAATTCTCAAAAACACTGGCGCTAACATATAATAAATTATCTAGTGTCAAAAATATTGCTTTCTTTCTTCAAAACTGTTTAATTTATAGTCCAAAAGCTAGATTCAAGTATCTAGTCTTCTATTTAAGTAGCTATGAAATATTGTACAAGTTAGTTCTTGGATGTACAAAATGCAGATAGCTTCCATCCCCCAAGATTGCTGCAAGGACTGAAATTCAGCATCATGTATACAGATTTCTGGATTCCAGCATTTGAATTCAGCAGGTCTTGAGTAGAGCCCAGAATTCTGTATTAAAAAAACAAAAGCAAACAACACATATCCCTTCCACCTCCCAAAAAAGGAAAAAGAAAGACAACTAACATTTTGAAAATTTTCAAAAGGTATAGAAATTAGGGAGAATGATATTATAAGTAATCATAAACAACTAGATCCAACAACTGTCAATATTGTACCATGTTGGTTCTATTTATCCATATATTGTTAAATTGAAATGTAATATATGTGTAGATTCATTGAAAAACTGAGTGTGTTTATTCTCTTCTCTGTACTTATGCCCTCTTGCAATGTGACTTCTCTCTTTCCATCAAGAAGTGGAATCTACTTCCCTCTTCTTGAATTTGGAATGCCTTTGGCCAAGAGAAAGTGGGGGAAGTGATGGTATGACAGTTCCAAGCCTAGGCCTTGAGTTGCCTTGTGTGTGACTCCACTCAATCTCTTGGAACCCTGCTAGAGGATGAGAGACCTCACAGAACACAGAAGAGTTATTGCAGCTGAGACCATCAGCATACCTGCCACAGCTAACTACAGTTGCAGGAGCAAATCCTTGGCCATATATCATGAGTGCTGCTCAGCTAATTCAAAGACTCACGAGGAAAGTTTACTCTCCATTACTGCTAAGGTTTAAACAGCATTTGTGTCAATAGACAACTGATAAAACATATATACAGAAAAGAGAACAAATTTTCCGTGGACATAGAGCTCAATGAATTATCACAAAGTGAATACATATGTTAAACCAGCACCCAGATCAAGAAACAGAACATTAATTGCATTTTAGAAATACCTGTGTGCTACCTTCCCACCAAGGTTAACTACCATCCCAACCTCTTACACCACAGATTAATTTTTCCACCCCCTCCAAATCATGCCATTATATGACTTAGCCCCAGCCAAAGGTTAACATTTGACTTAAGTTGTGACAAGCAGTGAGGGATGAGTAGATAGGAAGGGCCCTCTCTGGTCTCTTCAGAGCAGCTTTTCAGACCACCAGTGATATATGGGACCTAATCAAGACCCACTGTGTCTGTCTCATTTCTTGGAACTCTTAGGTAAATTTATGATTAGTTTACTGGCCCAACCAATATTTACTTATCGCCAACCAATATTTCAACCCCAGGCTATCTAACAGTTGACCTTTTACAACTCTCCCGGGCATGAGATTTTTTTTCTGTGTTCTCTTCCAAATCAAGTCAGTCTTCTCTAATAGGAAAACTGCTGGTTTTCACAGCTTGCCCAGTACCTTGTCAGAAGTACAAGGTGTAAAGAAAGGGGGAAAGGAATGGGAGAAGCCACATGATAAAATGTCTCAGAAAAATATAGTTCCTTGCCAAAGTTGAATAGTTTTTCTTTACTAAATGCCTCTTAATTTGTTGTATGCCTTGGTGAAGTTCCAGAGTCCTAAACTGGTTGTTTTTTACAGATCTGTCCAATTTTGTTGGTTTTTAGGGAGCTGATTAGCCATGTTTCTCCCTCTACCTTCCGGAAGTAATTATAATTTATTTAGACTTTTATAAGTCACAGGTAGAATAAATGTTCTGTACTTTCTGAGCTTTACTGGGTAATTATTTATATGTGGTTTCAAATTAATTTTTCTATTGGTTTATCATTTCATGCCAGGCAAAAAGTTAAAACAAATTTTTTTTTTTTTTTTTTTTGGAAGACGATGCTCCTCACCTTTGTTGCCCAGGGCTAGTAGTCGAGTGCCGTTGGCATTCAGCCTGGCTCAACAAGGCAACCTCAACTCTGGGGCTCAGCCGATCCTACTGCCTTCAGCCTCCCATAGTAGCTGGAGTCTACAGGCATGCACTCATCCATATGGCCCGGGCTAATTTTTGGTAATATATATTTTTAGCTTGGGTGAATTAAGTTTAATTTCTATTTTTAGTGTAGAGACGGCGGTCTCGCTCAGGCTGGTTTCGAACTCGCTGACCTTTGAGCAATCCGCCGCCGCCTTTGGCTCCCTATAAGTGCTATGGATTACAGCGTGAGGTCTCACCACGAGCGGCCTAACATATTTATTCATCTCAAAAAAATACAGCTTAGGCCGGCGCGGTGGCTCAGGCCTGTAATCCTAAGCCTCTGCTGGGAGGGCTCGAGGCGGGCGGGATGTTTGCTGCAAGGTCAGGAGGTCAAACCAGCACTCGAGCAAGAAGCGACGACCCCGATCTCTACTATAATAGAAAGAAAAATATTGCCAAACTGATAATATATATAAAAATTAGCCGGGCAATGGTGGCACATGCTGTAGTCCCAGCTACTCGGGTGGGAGGCTGAGACAGAAGGATCGCTGGAGGCCAGCGAGTTTGAGGCTTGCTGTGAGCTAGGCTGACGCCACGGCACATCACTCTAGCCTGGGCAACAAATGAGACTCTGGTCTCAAAAAAAAACAAAAACAAAAAAAAATACAGCATAATTTTATAATTTTTCGGAAGTATCTGAGACAATTTAAAGTCTGAAACTAATGGTAAAAAAAAAGGCTGAAATGTGAAATAGTGGAAATGGAGTGATACAGGAAGTTTTTTTCTGAATTGCTTGTGAGTTTCAATTTCCCGGACCAACATTCTTTTAGGAAAATACTCCATAAATATATACTGTTTTGTCAATAATAATTGATCATTTACTTTTTTAAGTACATCTTGGTGGCCTAAAAGAGAGAAATACAGAGGTATAAACATGTTAAAGCATCACTCAATCAACTGGGTCATTCAGGCATTGGGTTGACGTAATATCCCTCGCCTCTCGCGTCTTCGTTCCTTTGGCTTTGAAGATTCAGCTTTTCTAATCTTGTTTGTTCCAAGTTTGGAATTATTCAGAAGACTTTTAAAATTTTTTAATGGTCAGTTTGTAAAACTTCACCACTCTTGTATATAAAAGTTGACTATATGTATGATTCAACCTATAATATGGAAATCATAATAGAAAATAGAATTAGATTCTCTTATAGCTTGACTGTAATTCAAGATGTGAAAATGCTATGAATAACATCTTAGATACTGCCTTGAGAAATAAAATTTTTTGACCAGTATAAAGTGATCAAAATTAGTTTCTATTTTTTGAAACCAGATGTAAAAAAAAAAACACCCAAGTATCTTTCCTGAAAATAATCTTCTAGCTTTATTAGATGCTGGAAATAATAACACAAAATTCAAGATTAAATAAAAAATATTTCATTTGTTTTAGAGCTGGAGTGACTCTGATCCCTGACTAGAATGCAGTGGCGTGATCATAGCTCACTGTAATATCCAATTCATGGGCACTCAAGTGATCCTCTTTCCTCAGCCTCCCAAGTAGCTGAGACTACAGGCGCATGCCATCATGCCTGGCTAATTTTTTTTTTTTTTAGACAAAGCCTCGCTTTGTTGCCCAGGTTCGAGTTAGTGCCGTGGCATCAGCCTGGCTAGCTCACAGCAACCTCAAACTCCTGGGCTCAAGCAATCCTCCTGCCTCAGCCTCGCCAGTAGGCTGGGACAATAGGCATGTACACCATGGCCCGGCTAACTTTTTCTATATATATTAGTTGGCCAATTAATTTCTTTCTATTTATAGTAGAGACGGAGTCTTGCTCTTGCTCAGGTTGGTTTTGAACTCCTGAGCTCAAACGATCCACCCTCCTCGGCCTCCCACAGAGCTAGGATTACAGGCGTGAGCCACTGCACCAGGCCCTGGCTAATTTTGTAACTTTTTTTTTTAAAGCAAAGGGGTCTCACTGTGTTCTCCAGGCTGGTCTCAAATTCCAGGCCTCAAGTAATCCTCCTGCCTTAGCTTCCCGAAGTGCTGGGATTAATAGGTGTGAGCCACCATGCCCACTGATAAGAAAACATTTAAAGGACAAAAGAGGCTGAGTACTGTATTATGAAGTGTGATGAAAAATGGATTCTTTTTGACAATCACAAGCGTTCAGCACAATTGTTGGATAAAGATGAAGTGCTGAAACACAGTCCAAAACTGAGTATTTATCAAAAAAAGCTAATGGTGTTGGGTAGTCCAGCGCTGGTATTATAAATGGGCAAAGGACAGGAACAGAAACTTTTCAAAAGGAGACAGACTAATGGCCAGCAAACATATAAAAAAGTGTTCAACATCTCTAATCATTAGGGAAATGCAAATCAAAACTACAATGAGATATCACCTAACTCCAGCGAGAATAGCCCTTATCAAAAAGTCCCAAAACAACAAATGCTGGTGTGGATGTGGAGAGATTGGAACACTCTTACACTGCTGGTAGGACTGCAAATTAGTACAACCCCTATGGAAAGTAATTTGGAGATACCTCAAAGAGCTAAAAATAGAAATACTATTTGATCTAGCAATCTCACTACTAGGTATCTATCCAAAGGAAAAAAAGACATTCTATAATAAAGACATCTGCACTCGAATGTTTATAGCAGCACAATTCACAACTGCAAAGATCTGGAAACAACCCAAGTGCCCATCAATACATGAGTGGATTAATAAAATGTAGTATACATATACCATGGAATACTACTCAGCTCCAAAAAACAATGGTGAACTAACACCTCTTGTATTATCTTGGATAGAGATTGAGCCCATCCTTCAAAATGAAGTATTACAGGATGGAAAAACATTCACCACATGTACTCACCATAAAATTGGTACTAACTGATCAACACTAAGGTGTTCACATGATAGTAATACTCTTAGGGTACTAATCAGGTGTGAGGGGACAGGGTGGGGGTCAAGAAACCCATAGCTAATGGAAAGAGAACACACTGTATGTGGAAAGGACACACTCATAGCCCTGGCTTGGGTGAGGCAAATGCATTACATGTAACCAAAATGTTTGTACCGCCATAATATCTTGAATAATTAATAAATAATCAAGACTTAGTAAAATAAGTGGCAAGACCAGAAACATACAGTAAATAATTAGGTTGAATCAATGAATGAATGAATGCATACCATGAGTTAAACAACTGATTAAACCTCACTGAAACATATAGACAGCTATGTAATCAGTACCTGTGGTGGTGAAAGTTTTTCCTGCTGATGCTTCATGGCAAGAGGGTGGTGGTAATATAAGAAGATAATATGCAAGGTCCTAGATATCTCTTTGGCAAATACTAAGATGAGCTTTTTGAGTTTTTTATATTGTCCTTGAAAGTTGAGAACATTATTACCAAAATGCAAATGCAATTCAGCAAACGCAATTCTAAAATGGCTAAGACAACCTATTTCATGTATGAAACTTTCTTTCTTTTTTTTTTTTGAGACAGAGTCTTACTCTGTTGCCTGGGCTAGAGTGCCATAGTGTCAGCCTCAAACTCTGGGCTCAAGAGATCCTTCTGTCTCAGCCTCCCGAGTAGCTGGGGCTACAGGCATGTGCTTCCATGCCTGGCTAATTTTTTCTATATATTTTTAGTTGGCCAATTAATTTGTTTCTGTTTTCAGTAGAGACGGGGTCTCACTCTTGTTGAGGTTGGTTTCAAACTCCTGACTTGAGTGATCCTCCCACCTCGGCCTCCCAGAGTGTTAGGATTACATGTGTGAAGAAACTTTCTTGATTAGGCATTATCTAAGATTAAATTTAGGCTATTTGGAGGAATGAATGAATGATTATCCCTCAGCAAACTCTTCATAAATACTTCTGGTGAAACAACTCTTTCTTATTCCACTTAAAGCCTTTTCTTTCCTTAGAACACAGACATGAGTCTATAAAAGTTGGGCAAGAATAGATTTGAGAGCAAATACTCTCTTCAGAACCACTATTCCCTCCAAGCCTGGAGAATTTTCTCAATCTCATGATTCTCAATTTCTTCTTCATTCTGGCTGAGTTCTTTCTCTGGAGGCTCCTCGGTAATATCACAATTAGATTCTTGGAAGGAATACCGAAATTCATGAACTATATCCCCAGTTAATTTTGACTCCCTCAAGAGAAAAAGGTTAGGTAAAAAGTATTCCCCAATATTTTGTATATAATAAAAATGACCCTTGTCCTTGTATGATCTAACTTATCTTCTACTATATATCTACTATATATCTATATCTATAACTTTAATCTTCTACTATATATACTGTATGAATATATCCTATAACCTTTTAATCTAACTTGGTGTTGAGCTTGTGGGAAGTTCAAATCCCCCAGTAACGAATTTCTTGTAACTATAGGAAACTAAATTCAAAACTGTTGAACATGAAAATGAAGATGACTTTAGAAATTTAAGATTTTTTTTAAAGGAAAAGATAAGTTTAAATCTAAAAATGGATTGTCTTAAATTCATAATAGGACAAATACTCAATGACCCCTCCTTGCATTTTGTGTGCTGCCTTTCAGCTCTCTTCAAGCTATGGCACTATAAGCATAGGTGCAAATGATTAGGCTGTTTAACCTTTTAAAGGTTTCTGAAAAACTGCCAAATATATACTCCTATGAAGCAGAAGGGTTACAGTTGGCAAGTTTTGATTTTCCAAGGCTTTCAGTTAAAAAATAATAGCCCCATGGCAATATGAGATCACTAATACATAACACAGTTAAAAATATAAGTACAAATCAATCAGCCAGGAAACTATGGGGCTGCTCACTTGTAGTAATTTCAAAAGACAAAAGAATTGGGAAAGCAGACTAGTAAAAAGAGAGAGAGACAGAGAAAAACAATCAGGTTTAATTATATTCGGCTTTCAATAAAGTATGTAAATGTTATCAAGGCACAGAAATGTTATATAATTTAACTTAAAAACTTAATTAGCTAACAATCAATGGATGAATAAATAAAGAAAATATGGTATATAGAAACAGTGGAGTAGTATTCAGCCTTGAAAAAGAATGAAATCCTGTCATTTGCAGCAACATGGATGGAAGTGCAGGTCATTACATTAAGAAAAATAAGCCAGACAGAGAAAGACAAATATCACATATTCTCACTCATGTGGGAGTTACAAAAGTCAATGGCATAGAGATAGAGTGTGGAATGGTGGTTACCAGAGGCTGGGGAATGGGGTGAAGAGAGACTGATTAATGGGTAGAAACATATAGCTAGATAAAATGAATAAGTTCCAGTGTTCCACAGTACAGTAGGGTGACTATAGTTAACAGTAATTTATTGTATGTATATTTCAAAATAGCCAGAAGGTTTGAAATGTTCCCAACACAAAGAAATGATAAATGTTTGAGGTGATGATATCCTAAATACCTTGATTTGGTCATTACACACTGTATGCAGTTATCAAAATATACATGTACCCCTCAAATATGTACAACTATTATGTATCAATTAAAAAACCCTTCAGTAGCTGAAAACAAGAGAGGAACAATAAGAGAAAATGGGAGAAATAGGCATTTGAATAATTGATTCTATAACTAACTGCATGATTTTGCTGGGTAACATACTTACTGCTCTGGGGTATATATTCATTTTTACTATAAAAAGGACTGTACCAAACAGTCTATTCTATTTTTTAACATTCTAAGTCCAAATTATGGTTGGTACTAAAAGGAGACAGTATACACTTTGGATGTAAGGCATAATACAGAATTAAAATATATAAATATTACCTATCATTTTCAATACAAAGTTTCTTGTACTCTGCAGCTACCATCTCATGGTTTTTATTTTCAAGCAGCATTTTTTCCTGTTCTACTTTGAGCATTTTTTCCAAATCTTCCAACTGTCCTTTCTGTTTTAGTAACTGATTGTAACTGGAAAAAAAAGTTAGGCATTTGGTTTATAATATTTTCAAAAAAGAAAACATTTTAGAAATGAGGAAAATAAGAGTAATTTATTAATAAGTATCACACAAAACACATGTAAATTTATACAAATTTCCTACATAAATTACCTATTAGATATATTTAATATATAGAATTTATTATACAACTTGAAGAAAACTGAGTTTAAATTCACAACACAATAAAATATAATAAATTACCGGTCTTCAAGATCTTTATGTTCCACCTCAAGATTTTTGTGGGCAGACTTTAGAGTTCCGTGTTTAGAGATAAGAGATTCATACTCTGAAGCCTGCCGTTCATGAAGAAGTTCCAGCTTTTCATGATCTTTGATCAGAGAATCATAGAGAGATTTTAGCTCTTCTCGCTCTTTGATTACAGATTCATTTTCATTTTCTAAGGAAGACTGCTGGATTAGGAGTTGTGCATTCTGGTTCATAAGGGAGGTACTTTGGGAATTAAGGGTGGAATTTTCAACCTATAAAAATACATATTGTTATCAGACAAGAAAAATAGTTCATGTTCTTTTTTAAAAATAAAAGTTTTATATTGTTAACTTGAGGACACTCTAAATACATTGTAGAAGACACATTTGCATTACACTGAGAATATTTGGATTTTAGCTTTCTAAAGAATAAGGCTACCATTTAATTTTGATTTTTGGAAGTGTTATATATGATGCATATATGTATATATACTTGTACATATATATGTTTTGGGTTGAATTTATATTAAATGAAGGTGATTAGCAACTACTTGCATTCTAATTATGAAAAAGTATATAATTTGAAATGCAAGTTTATCATTTCAAGAATTTAGGAGTTGACAGACCTGAAAAACTACTTTTGGAAATTTCTCAAGTTCAAATTAGATTAGTATTTCCTTTATCACTTAGAAAAAGGTTACAAAGGAAGAACTTTTTGATTCAGAAAGGGAACTTGTTTCTGCTCTTTAAGAGGTTTCAGACAGTTGCATTCTTTACGACCTGATTGCTCTGGTAGGTAGTGTTAAGAGAAAGATGGATCCTTTGAACTAAGTAAGGATAAGTCTAAAGACAACATTCCTATGCTGTCTTGTTTTCTAACAACTAAACTGATAAGACCATAAAGTAAATATAAATTATCTTTGCTCATTTATATTTATTGAGTGAATTTATTAATTAGTATTTAGAGGCTCTGACATTTTAAAAATGCTGACATATGAAAGTCTGGCATGGCACTAAATTAAAACATTTTAATATATCTTCAATTAATTGTTAAATTCACTAACACATAATGTTTCCTATGGTTAGCCTCCCTTATTTTAATTGCATAATTCAAGAAATTGGTTGCACATCCCCAAAATATTACATTACAACCTGAAGCTTGGCATTCTGTGTTTGAAGAGTGGTATTCTGTTCCTGTAATGACACTGTCTGCCTCTGAAGTGCAAGAATCTGAGCCTGCAAATTATTGTTCTGTGTCTCAAGTTGCTTCAGTTGAGTTTTCAATGCTTGCTTCTCTGCTTGCAGTGTAGCATTCTTAATAAAAGAAAAATACCCATAGATATTAAAAAAAACATCAAACATATTTCTGTAACATGCTGTAATTTTGTACAATGAGCACTTACTACCATCATGATCAAAAAAAATCCAACAATCTTAAAAGAGAAAAAAACCAAAACATTCCCTCACTATCCTAAATTGTAAACAGACATTTAATCTAAGAAAAAGAAGGCAATAATACTTCTTAATGTCTTCATATACAATTGTGCCTGTGTCCCATCTGCCTTATAGTATCCTCAAAATAAAATATTCCATTCTTTAATATATTTATTGACCCAAGAACTAGGAGGGAGTTATACGCTTTTAATATTGCTCAAAAGTGCCAAAGTAAGCCAGGCGCAGTGGCTCACACCTGTAATCCTAGCACTCTGGGAGGCCAAAGTGAGCAGATCGCTCAAGGTCAGGAGTTTGAAACCAGCCTGAGCAAGAGCAAGACCCCGTCTCTACTAAAAATAGAAAGAAATTAATTGGGCTACTAAAATATATAGAGACAAAAAAATTAGCTGGGCATGGTGGCGCATGTCTGTAGTCCCAACTACTCGGAAGGCTGAGGCAGGAGGATTGCTTGAGCCCTGGAGTCTGATGTTGCTGTGAGCTAGGGTGACGCCACGGCACTCTAGCCTGGGCAACAGAGTGAGACTCTGTCTCAAAAAAAAAAAAAAAAAAAAAAGTGCCAAAGTATTGCTTGTTGGCCTTTTGACAAAAAAAATAAAGAAAAAATAAAATTATTTATAATTTTCAAAAATATTTTTTAAAAAGAGTGCCAGAGTGTCCAGAATAAGTGGGGCTATGTCCAGGAAAGGTGGTGTGCCAAAGGGAAATGTATACATAGGTGAGTGGTGGTTCCAGTAATACCAGCTAAATAATTATTTGTAAGAGAAGTTTTACGAGAACCATCTTACCCGTCTGTTTACAAAATTTAGCCCATAATAGTCCTAACAGATGTTACATATTTTCTTCAGTTATTTTAGTTATACCTATTCTTTAGTATTTTAGTGGTATAAAATTCTTTACTATTTTAGTGGTATAAAATACCAACACTCTATTCCAATTAAGGACTTCTAGAGCATATCCAAACAAAACATACCATTTTCAATTTTTCCAGTACATGTGGCCATATTTCAATTTTTATAGCTAAACAGGTAAATTACTATGTAGATCATTATATTTAATGTGATAGATGTTAAAATGCTTGTCATGGATATTATAATACAGCATTATCTCTAAATAAAATTTCATGAAAAATAAATTAGCATCAAGCATAAACAAAGAACCCTCCAGAAAACAGAAATAAAACTTTAACATACAAAAAGGCAATAATTGGTCTATCACTGTAATATGTATAAGAAGATCATTCTTATCATATCTCTATATAAAGATAACATTCATTTTATTGGCTTTCATGTTATATATATAATCCATGCCACTATGTAAAAGGCAGGTGATGCTTAGACCCACATATTATACCATAAACTCAAACTGATGAAGCAAAATTCTTTAAGATGGGTCTGGATATTTTACTTCCCTTTTGTTCATTTGTTCAAATAAAAAGGATGAAAAAATTTACACTGGAAAAAATACTATGGAATATTCATGTATTTATATACTATCTTGACACAAAGAAGTGAACCATTTTTCACTTACATATGTGAAATACTATTGTAGTTTAGCACTTTAGAAACTAAATTATATGATTAGTCCAGATAGCTCTAGGAATAAGAAAGATTCCTATAATAGATAATGAATAGAAGAATTAGCTGAGAAGGTATCTCAGAGCAGGAAAAAAATTTACAATAGAAAAGAAAGTGAATAAATATAATACTGGCAAATAAACAAAAATTACCAGTCTATTATAGGACTAACCATTTTTATAACCCTTTTAGCTAAAATGACTAACATGACAACCAAGAAATTTTTTCCCCAATGGAAACTTATAAAGAAAGACAATGGGAAAAAGAGATTTACCTTATAGAACTTGACAGTTCTATACATGACAGTTCAATTTTCTAAAATGTAATTCTGAATCTAAGCGATAGAGGTATATATATCACTAAGTAATTTAAAAAGGTATTTATAAATAGCCAACAAATATATGAAAAGATGCATAACACCTCATTCATAATTTAAAACATGCAAATTAAAATTTTTCTCTTATCATTTTAATAAAATTAAAATTCTGGGTAATACCAACTGTTAACCTGGAAAGATATATATACTCTATTAGTGGGACTGAAAATAGGTATGATTTTTTTTAAAGGCTAATACAAAAATATCAATTAAAATTACACACACACACACAGGTATGCATATATATATCTCCTTTGTTTTAGCAATTCTACTGTCAGAAACTTAGTAGCCTATGAACGTGGTCATACACAGATTTTCATTGCAGAAAAACCTAAAAATAACCATAATGGCCAGAAATGTGAGATTTATTTAAATAAATTATGGTAACATTTACACAATGGAATAATTATTAAACAAAATGAGATACACCCATATGTGCTCAAATAGAGAGATATCCAAGATAACATAGCTGAAAAATGCAAATGAGAACTTTATGTAGTATGATTCCACAGGTAAAAATTTGTAAAAGAAATATACTTCTATATACAGAAAAACCACATTTTTCTAGAAAGATAAACTGTTAATAGTGATTTTTTTTAATGAAAAAGGAGAAATCAATGGTATGGGGATTAATTTTTGGTTTTAGGGCTCCAAATTTTAAATAAAGGGTATTAATTTTATGTTAAAATAAAAACAATAACAATAACCACAACTAATTTATTTGTTATGTAAATTCCTTAAGTTAATTCATCTTTGAAGAGTAAATATTTGTTGTTGAGTTTACTTATTGTTTACTATCAAGTACTTATTGAACTCATTTAAGCAAATATTTATTATGTATCTACTACCTACCAGGCACTATTCTAGATACTGAAGGCACAGTAATGAAAAAGAAAACTACCTGCTTTCATGGAAGCTTTTTTTCACTGGACGAACAACAAATAAATGAATTTTAAAAATAATTTCACTTAGTGAAAAGTGCTAAGAAGAAACTAAGGCAGTGGAGTGATAGTGAATAGTTTAGGTTGGGGACAGCTACGTTACTGGGGGAAGGAGTCAGGGAAGACCTCTTCTAGTATATACATGGCATGACACCCAAATGCTGAGGGAGACAGCCATCTGTACCAGGCAGAGGAAGCAAACAAAAAGACTCTGAGGTAGGAACAAACATAAAAAGGCCAATATGGGCCAGGTGTGGTGGGTCACACCTGTAATCTTAGCAGGCCGAGGCGGGAGGCCGAGGCAGGAGGATCACTTAAGGACAGGAGTTCGAAACCAGCCTGAGCAAGAGTGAGACCCTGTCTCTACTAAAAATAGAAAGAAATTAATTGGCCAACTAAAAATATGTAGAAAAAATTAGCTGGGCATGGTGGCACGTGCCTGTAGTCCCAGCTACTCGGGAGGCTGAGGCAGAAGGATTGCTTGAGGCCAGGAGTTTGAGGTTGCTGTGAGCTAGGCTGATGCCATGGCACTCACTCTAGCCTGGGCAACAAAAAAAAAAAAAAAAAAAATACAGCATAATTTTATAATTTTCGAAGTATCTGGACATTTAAGTCTGAACTAATGGTAAAAAAAAAGGTGAAATGTGAAATGTGAAATGAGTGATACAGGAAGTTTTTCTGAATTGCTTGTGAGTTTCAATTATCCCTGACCAAATTCTTTTAGAAATACTCCACTAAATATATACTGTTATTGTCATAATATGATCATTTACTTTTTAGTCACATCTTGGTGCCTAAAAGAAGAAAACAGGGTTTAAACATGTTAAAGCTCACCTCACACTGGTTATTCAGCTTGGTTGACGTAATATCCAACTGTTGGTATTGTTCCTTTAGCTTTGAAAATTCAGCTTCTAATCTTGTTTGTTCCAGTTTGGAATTATTCAGAAGACTTTTCAAATTTTTATGGTCAGTTTGTAAAACTTCAGTCTCTTTTAAAAGTTGACTATATGTATGATTCAACCTATAATTGGAAATCATAATAGAAATAGAATTAGATTCTCTTAATAGCTTGCACTGTAATTCAAATGTGAAAATGCTATGAATAACATTTAGATATGCCTAGAGAAAATAAAAGATTATTTTGCCAGTTATTAAACTGATCAACAATTAGTTTCTATTTTTTGAAACCAGATTAAAAAAAAAAACACCCAAGTATCTTTCCCTTGAAAATAATCTTTCAGCCTTTAAGTATGCTGAAATAAATACCCAAAATTTCAAGATTAATAAGAAAATATTTATTTGTTTTAGAGACTGGGTGTCACTCTGTCCCCTGGACTAGAATGCAGTGGCGTGATCATAGCTCACTGTAATATCCAATTCATGGGCACTCAAGTGATCCTCTTGAGATAGGTTTATGGTAGAAAAATAAACCTGGTATGCACTAGTAGTCTATGAAGTCAATCTGCTTCGAAGAACAATTAAAGTAACATCCTGTCACTCGTGCGTTGCTTACATTATCAACACGGGGGGTAGAAAAAAGACTCCAGGATAAAACTTGTAATACAGGAGGTTAACCAATAAGCAGTGCAATCTACAATGCGTAGTTGTTACACTAGCTCCACCCTTTCGTTGATTAAATTGGATGAATATTATGCTGACATGCAAAGAACCATAAATACAACGTCTAACTCCATTCTTTGGGCGATAATGTCTAGATTCTTGCAAAATATGAAAATAACAAAAGTAGTTTGATAAGTAAGAGGTAAACGATGGATGAAATCAGGTGAGCCCTTAAGTTGCAGGTCTTTGCTAGGGAATTGTAAACATGGTATCAGCCACATGTGGACTAATGAACAGGGTGGTGGGATCCTCGAAAAAATGAATCATAGAATGCACTATAGGGTTCAGCAATTCATTTGATAATTCATATAGACTATGTACCAAAGGAGAATGGAATTGCAAAACGAG